CAGCTTCGCTAGCGCCGCGATCGTCTGCGAGCGGAGGGGGCTCGGGACTCCGATCGGGCGACCTCTCGACGTCGACCCCGCTGTCGCGCATCGGAAGCGTACTTGCGCTCAGTGAGTATGCGAGCCTCCGCTTGCCACGCGGGTTGTCCTCGCGGCTCACGTAGTCGGCCAACGGGTTGCTGCGTTGTTGCGCCCCAGTGCCAGGAGGGGTCAGCACGATGCGAGGGTCGCCGAAAGGCATGCACCCGAATGCCGATTGCATTGCGTTCATCATGGCGCCGCCCATGAGCTGGGCCATCTGTTCCATAGGGTTGCCGCCCATGGAGGTGCTGAAGCTCATCGGGCCCCCGTGGCTCATGGCCGCGGAGCTTCCCGCCTTCTGCTGGACGTAGGGGGTGATGGCGGTCAGCGTCTCCTTGAAGGTCTTGTGGGTGTTCCTGCTGACGGCCCGCTTGGTGGTAGCGTCGTAGGCCGCGCGATCCCATTCATGGCGGTCAAACGGCCAAGTCGGCGCAACGCCCTGGTAGGCGAACTGGAAGACCGAGGGCGGCAGCATATCGGCAGACGCCAAGTACCTCTCGATGTGGCCGAATGGCCACCGCTGGCTGGAGTCCAGCAGTTCGACGGCAGCTTGGAAGTCATCGCCGATCACCTTGAGCTGACGGCTGTCGACTGGTCCAGGCTCCCCCTTCATCGCCATGATGGCCGCTGCACGCTTCTAGACCGACTCGGCTGGGCAAGTGATGCCGATGCTCCACGCTCGCATCGCCAGCCGCTCCACCTTTGCAGCCCGCGACAGCGACTGGTCCTGGATGAACTGCCAGTCGTCGGTGGTCAGGTAAGCATGGAAATTATCGCAGTGCTGCTGGGGGCTGCTGCCTCCAGCACTAGTGATGCCGCCCGCAAACACTTCCACGACAGTTGCTACCATGGCCGCCTTCTGCCCTGCCGACCGCGGCCCAGCAGTGATCTCATTAGAGATCGCAGTGCCGTGCTCCGCCGTGAGATCGGGCACCGAGCTGATCGTTGCGATGAGCGCGTGCGACTGCCTCGTCAACAGCCCATCCCTGTCTACCCCAGCCGCCAGTTGAGAGTTGATGAAGGCGACGCGGCTGCGAATGATCCCAACTAGGTCAGCGGCCGTCGCCCCTAACATTGTCGACGGCAGGTCTGGGCGAGTGGGCACAGGCGATCCACGTCACTTTGAGCCAAAATGGTTCTGGAACTGAAGGGGGTCAGAGGATGGGGGGGGGAAGGATATTAATGATAAGGGGGGCATCGCGAGCTAGTCGAGCCAACCCCGCATTCGGGCGTTGCGGGCTTGGGCGGAACGATGCACGAGCCAGTGCACCGAAACCCTAAGGCAGCAGACCACGCCCCCGATTCAGTTTTGGGGATCTCCTGGGCCCCAAACACCGAACTCGGGGTTAACCGAATGCCCAGCCGAGGGTACGGTGGCGACGCATGGTCCGAAAACAGCAACATACACCAGCGCTCACCACCTCTAGTGCGCTCAACACTTGAGAGAGATGATGATGTCAGGAGGGTGGTGGTGCTGGTGATAGTGATGCTGACGACGCCGACACTGGTGACGCAGGGGATGCACAAGAGGGTCAACTGGACGACTGCGGGGCGGTGCCCCCACAACTAACGGATGCATCAAGTCGCCCTCACGACCTGATGCAATTGCATCAAGTCGCCATCACGACCTCGTGCAGTGCATGCTTACTGTACTCATGCATCAAGTCGTGATGGCGACTTGATGCAATTTCATCAAGTCGTGATGGCGACTTGATGCAATTACATCAGCTCGTGATGGCGACTTGATGCAATTGCACCAAGTCGTGAGGGTGACTTGATGCATATCGCTATTTCGCCACGCACGTTGGTGTCACGGCCGTTGGCGCACTAGATGTCAACGGTCGGTGGCTCACGTATAGAGTGTGTGTAATGATGTGTAGCAGTGGGTTTGATGAGGTTGGGATGGTGGTGTGATGATATCGATGGGTTGTCGATTGTGCGCAAGTTCACATTCGGTGTTCAACAGCACCACATGCGCTGGCGGCCTCGTCTTACAACCCACGTTGTCGACATCCCAGAGGCAGGCTAAGCGCTAGTGCCATGCAGTGGCCGAGTGCGCAACTATGTCAAACACGTCGGCGAAGTCGTTGTGTAACTGCTGCGCCACTGGCCGATGTGCAAAACTCATGCAACTACTGTGGCTCGTGGTGGTGCTCGTCGTAGTACGTCTGAAGGACGTTCGCGAGCCGCGCGGCCCTCTCCTGGATGTCTACCCCCCTCGACAGCTTCATGCTCTTCGTCGCCCACTTGCCCTTCTGTCCGTCGAAGTAACGGGCCACGAGGGCGTGGCGGCATGGGAGCCAGACAACGTTGGCGCATTCGATGTCGGGAATGAAGTTGGGGGCCAGCACCTCCTTTGGCTGCTTAGTGAGCAAGCCCGCTGCATCCCGCGTCAGCTCCACCACGAGTTTAGCCCTGGAGTTGGCAGCTGGGACCACCTTGATGGACACGGTCTCGTCGGCGTCTGTCTTGATGGTGACGCCGATCGTGGACGAGAGGCCGTCGATCAAGACCCTCTTAGTTTTCTTCAGGGGGGGAGTGAACGCTGCGCCAGAGGCGTCGGCGTGATCGGCGTGCGTGTCAGCGAGCGGGTCGTCCTCATCCCTGTCGGCCACGAACACCAGCTCCTCGGCCTTGCTGTTCCTGATCTGGATGATATGGTCGAGCATCGTGAAGTTGTGCCCCACCAATTTCCCAAAGCGCGTATCAAGCCTGTCGCACTGGACAAAAATTACCCCGTCGATCTGCTGGACGAGAGGATACCAGCTGCTGCACGGCTTGGGCTCGCCAGCCGCATTGCTGATTTGGGCGTAGCCCAGCTTGGTCGAGGCAGGCATGTCAGGCCACGAATGTGACCGCCTGGATGTCTGGAGCGCGAGGGCAGAGACCGTGTGAAACGTGGGAGCCAGCTTGCGCCAAAATGGCTACGGGGACGCTTGGGACCATGGACCATGGGGCCCCATGTTTATTTAGAGTTCAGCTCACTGTCGTATGCCTGCATGTTTGTGATTGGCTCATGCTGCGTGACTGTTTACATCCACACATACACGCGTACGCATATAGTCACGGGACGAATAGACCCAACAGTAACAAGACGACGCACTCAGCATCAACCACAGTGTGGGGGCCGATCGGTCTTACACTGTCTTTATTGGTATGATGTGGCTGCTGCTGGTTAGTGCTTGCTCTGCTCATTATCGTTAGTCGCCCTCATCCTCCCTATCATTATCCTCTTGAACCTAGTTGGGAACGGTTGAGGCTGCTTAAGCGTGCTTGCGATTGGCCTTTCGTTGTGATCCTATATGTCCTCTGCGTCCCTCTGATCTTCCTCCTCATCCTCCTCTCCTTGCCTCAGCCCTCCTAGTCCTCCTCCGCTCCCCTCCTCCAGTCCTCGTTGTGTTTTGCTCGAGCATCGTCATGTGTCACACTGTTTGTGGTACATGCTGGGCCGGTGAATTCTCCAGCTTCGGGCATCGTCGTGAGACTGATCGGCGACGCGCGATCATGCATTGAAGCAACCCCTCTCGCGCTGAACGCGCCCTCCAGGGTCTCGCGAACAATTGCAGACCCACCCGCACAGGCTGCGCGTGACAGCGGGGCCGATGGAGCAAACAAGCACACGTTGCCGAGCGATGCAAGCAGCTGCCGTGGGCATAATCTCCGTCCCTTCGGGATTGTTGCTGCCCCTTCTCCGTCTCGACCTCTAGCTCCTCGTCCTCCGCTTCTTCCTGCTCCTCGCCATCCTCCTCTTCCTACTCTTTTCTGCTCCTGTCCACGGGCCTGGCAGCTCGGGGCAGAGCGGAGCAAGGCGCTCGGCGTTGAGAAACGCATGCGCTTACCATATACCTACGCTTTTTGCCTTGGGCTTGGCCTTAGGCTTGCCCCCACTGCCAGTCGACGTCCTGCCCTTCTTGGCAGGCTGCTCCGAGACCTCATGAGAGGTCGTCTCGTTTTTTTTTTCTGGCAGGGCGGGCATGAACGAGTTGGGCGGGCGAAAAATGGGCTTGCCCTGCGGAATCGCCTTCGAATTGCGGAGCACAGGAATGCGAATCGGAATGGACCCGCTAGATGCACCGCACACCGCAGTCACATGCGTGAGCACCGTGGTCCATTCCATGTTGGCTTCTGTCGAATCGCTCGCTGCGGGCGCGGCTGCATACGGGACGACAAACGCTTTCTGCACAGACTTCGGGTCATTGGGGTTCTCGGGCAGGTTCAGCTTGGGAACTATGCACACCTTGGTTTTGGGAAAGTTCACCAGAAACTCCGACATGTCAATTGGGAGGGCAGCAGCGGGGATCTTCTCGCCTACTTTGATGTCGGACGACCGTGGGACCACTGTCAGCTTACCTTTGGCGTATGCTTCTGACGATTTTACACTCTCAGCAACCACCTTCGGCGTTGTCCGATACGAAATCTCAAGGCAGGCGTCCCAGAACTCACCCCACGCTTTCGACAGGGCTGCCCGAACCGCAGAGCGAGCAGACTCGATCGCCACGTCATGGCTGTCCTGGGGGCGGCGTGGGCTGGCGGGCGACGCGTGTAAGAGCGACGGACTAGTTCCAACGTCGAACACCAACCTCCTCCTCCTCATCATCATCATCGTTTACTTCTTCCTCATCCTCCTCGTCCTCATCCTCCTCCTCATCGTCCTCTTGTCCCTCCTCCTCCGCTTCCTCCTCCTCCTGCTCCTCCTCCTCCTCCCTCCTCTGAGGCATCGGCGGTGCGGATACAGGGTGGCCCACTATGGCCTCCGCGATGGCTCCACACTGGCCCCACGAGGCGGTGGCGACGAGGTGGGGGATAAGGAGGAGGAGGAGAGGGAGGAGGAGGAGGAGGAGGGGGAGGAGGAGGAGGAGGCGGCGGCGGAGTAGGAGGAGGAGTAGGATGAGGACGAGGAGAAGGAGGAATAGGTATACTCAGGGTATCGCGGGGGCCCGCATGGGCTCCTGCGCGTCTGCCATCTTCTCCATGGAGATGGTGTGCACTTTGTCGTCGACGACCACCTTCAGCGGCGGGCGCCATCGGGGGAGGGGAGGGACCTCCTCCTCCTGCTCCTCCGCCTCCTCCTCCTTCTCCTCCTCCTCCTCCTCCTCTCCCCCTCACCTTTCCCTCCTCCGCATACTCATCTATGCTGTGTTGGCGTGGAGGGGGCGACATGGTAACCACATTACCCTGTCCCCCCCCCCCTCCCCTGGGAGAGCCGCATCGGCAATCCTATGGGGCAATCTTCCAAGATACCCGAAGAGGATTCCCAACTGGCCCCATGAGGCCTTGGCGAGGAGGGGGGGTACATGATGAGTGATTTACTCTGCAAGGACGGCCCAAGAGGGCCAACGCGGTCACCGAACATATTCCAAGAGGGGTACGGGGTTAACTCAATCCGAAAACATGGCCTTCCACTCGTCCGCCAACTTCCCGAACGGGACCTGCAGCAGCACCTCGCCCTCGATGCCATGGTCCAGCTCCGCGTGGCAGTCCTTCATCTGCTTCACGACCAAGTAGCGCTGCACCTTCCCCTTGATCATCATCGCAGGGCCGTCCTTCAGCTCAACGGTGGCGCCCTCGGTGAAGCCCAGCTTCTTGACCTCGACCAGGCCAAGGCCCTTCTCGGTGAACTCCCTCAGCTGAGACACTTTCGGGCTGCAGTCCTTCTTCTCCTCGAGCTTCCACGGCGGCTCCAACGTCCTCGTGCTGGGGACCAGCGCGTACAGGTCATGCAAGAACGCTTGGCCGACGGCGTGGAGCGACTCATACGTTTTGCGGCTCCTGCTCTTCTTCCCATGGATCGTCATGACGGCCCTGACCTCGAGGTCGCCAATGAGCATGGTCTTCTGAACCTTCGTGAGGCTGCCGACCTGCTGCAGGAACTCCTTGGCAGTGGTGAACATCGCCACCGCCTCTATGCACTGGTGCTTCTTGGACGCGCTGATGGCGTCGATGTCGGCGGAGTTGAACAGGCGAGACTCGCCCCTCTGCAGGAAGGACTCTGGAGCTGTTAGCGCTGCCTTCGCCATTGCCAACACGCACGCTGGGCCAGAATAGAACTTCACGTTCGCAAGTAGCTTCCACGTAAACCCACCAACGAACCTGCGAAACTTCAGAGAGCACGAATATTCCAACAACTCGTCCAAGAATTGGCCCTTGCCGCCGCCCGCCCAGTTCGAGAGGAACTCGCACATTGGAATCCCATGGCCTGTCATGCTTGGGCGGTCCCGTTCAAGGTCCGCTGCGACGAGCTCCCACTTGGCGTCCCCGAATTGCCGCAAGTTCATCTGGGCCTTGCTGAACAGGCTCTTCAGCGTCTGGATGGGGGTGACTTCCTGGAACGTGTCGTGGACCTTGTTCATCGCATCTGCGATCATGGCGGGCAGTCTGGGGCAAAAATGTTCGACTGCGCTGCGGATGATCCTGAACGATACGCCGTTTTGCAAGGGATCAGCGAACGTCGGACATGATGCCAGGACCTTGTCTTTGGCGATCGTGCCGTCCTCCGCAGATACGTGGGCCAAAAACGCCTGGGATGCTTTCACTTGGTGGCTCGCAGCCCTGATGCAACCAATCGTGTGAGACCCAGCCACCGTAAGAAAGCGAAGATCCTGCCTGTGGGTCGGCCGAAACGCTGCCCCCCCCCAGCGCCACCTCGCCCACCCCTAAAACGAAGCAGGCTACTCACACACCAACAACACACATCGTTCGAGAGCTGGGCGGGATCCACTGTGAGTGGGGGCGCGCTTCGAAAGCCAACCCCGCCTCTTGACATGCGCAATCATGTTATCGCAATTCGCCTCCAGAACCCCCTGGAACTCGAACTGGGCCGCGAAGACGCTAGGGATCGGGCTGACCTCAAATGCAGTGGCGTCCGAAGTCAAGGCGTGCGAGAACCCATCCCTCAGGATTTTGGACAGTAGTTCATGGCAGCAGAGAGCGTCCAGACCCTGACCATCTCTGTTGTGAGGGTGCGGCGCAAATCTATCGATATCGACGTTCTGCTCTCTATAAGCGAGACCATGATTCTCCAAGAGTGTCATTATTTGGTCCACGGTCGCCCTCAGGAAATCAAGCCCGAACCCATTCCCACGGACGCCCCCTACCACGACCCGCAACATCGGATGATAGTGATGTTGGGTATACCCAACATCACTATCATCAGATGGGCGTGGGTAGATTGGCATGCGTGGGTATGGGTTCATGCTTGGTTTCCTGTTGAGCCTCTTCTTCTTCTTGTTGACATGAACGTCGAACATATCATCAACCTGCTTGTTGATGGTCGGGGCAATCTCCTTCAACTTCTGCAACATTGCCGGCTCAAGCCCGAAATCTGGCTCTGGAGTCGGGGCGGCCACCGTCTCGCCAGCCATGCTGGCGAAGGGTCTGAGAACCGCTCGCAGCAACTAATTGCTGCGGAACGTGGGCCACACGCAAGATATTGAACGGAATTACATCGGATTCGGTTTAAATCCAAGGGAAGTGCACCAGTATTTCATACCCCCCCGCATTGGTAACCCACTTGCGAACCTCAGCGAACCTACTTAGCGAACCTAGTTAGCAACCTGGTTAGCTTGGGGTGGATCCTAGATACGATCTGGTTAGATCATGGATACTATCCGTCAGCATATCTACCCTAAACAACTTGCACATATTACCCTAACTACGTTCATAACTTAGTGAAGTTGTTCGCACGTTTACATAGCCACTGTAAAGTTTAGCTTATACGTTATCTTGGTGTTGGTGGTTATAACGTGCTTGTGCATGTTATAACCTGATTCTAATGAAGTTGTAAGCTCTTTACATCCATTTATAAATGTGCTATATACTTGCTAACCCCCCCGATTATCCAAGTAGTGACCCCCCTTGCAGGTTTTCCGGAGGGGGGGGGGGTCGAACAGGTAGTAACCCCCCCGGAGCGGTGGGGGAGGGGGTGGGTTTCGAACCAGTAGTGACCCCCCCTGGTTTTCCGGAGTGGGGGGGGTTAGGGGACGGGGGGGTTTTGCCGGGGGGAAGGGGAGAGGGGGGGGGTCCAGCAGGGGGGTGGGGATTTTCGGAGAGGGGGGGGGGGGGGGGGAAAACCCCGGGTTCCGGAGGAAGAAGGGGGGAATTTTCCAGAGTCAAGCGGCAGTGGGTCACGCTGTCTACCAGATTTGGATTTCGTGTTATGGCATTCCTGTTCCACTGTGAGATGCCGAATCTTAGAGAGCATGAGCCTGCTACATCGCGGTGGTCATGGGGATACTGTGAGAGAGGAGTCGGAGATACGAAACGAGGGCCTCGACTGGGACCCCCCCACAACTTGGCAGCGGGCAGGCCCGTGAGATACCCCCTGGCGGCTCCCTCCTGGGGATGCTGACGCAGGCGCCTCGCTCGAGACATCCTCGCGATCTGCTCTGGGAGCAGGGGAGCCCACTGAGCCACCCGAGCGCCTCGCTCGGGGCATCCCTGCAGTCTGGCGGCGAACGGGCGAGTGTAGCACCTCGTGGCGGCTCCGCCTCACGATTTATGTTGCTCACATCGTACTCAAGGACTACATCCCAAAAATAATTTCGAGCACCAGGACAAGTGTCAAAAGAGTGTCGAAACAGTGTCGGACGAGTGTTGCTCAGAGCGTGAATTACCTACCCCGCTTTCGCTTCCAGGCAAAACCAAGTCATACCACGCGCCTCCTCGTCAAGCGGCCTGACCAGTACAGGCCGTAGTTTGGCATCGCTTGGTATCTCTTGGAAGCGAGTGTGGTCAAAAGCGAGGTAGGTTTGTTTGCCCCCTAGTTGCCCAGGGCCCGACATGTGAAAATTTTAGAGTTTCGGTATTGCTCGTGCTCGTGCTCGTGCTCGGGTCATACTGGCGCCTCGCTCGAGATATCCCCGCAGTCTGGCTGCGAACGGAGGAGGAGAAGAGGAGGAGAGGAAGAAGGTGGAGGTGGAGGGAGGAGATGGAGGGGGAGGAGGAAAATGAGGACGATGAGGAGGAGGAGGAGGAGGAGGAGGAGGAGGAGAAGGAGGCGTCTTGGAGCCATCTTGGGCCGTCCTGGGGCCACATTGTGCAATCTTGGCCGCCTTGCAGTGAACATTGGGGCATCGTGGCCGTCTTGGAGGCTATGGTGGACCGCGTTGGGGTCGTCTTGAGGCAGTTGTTACCATGGGGGCGCATTGGGCCGTCTACGGGCCATGTTGGAGATGGCTGGGCCGCTTCAGGATTTCCAGCAGCCCGCACAACGAATTAAACACGGTAAATTTCAATGAATTTCGGTTTCTTGTGGGTTCCAATGGTGGTCTGATGGGTCGTCATTGTTGTTGTTGTTGTTGTTGGCCGCTTCTGATTGCACACTTCAGAACACTTCCAATGTGCCCCCACAAAGGTGGAAGAGGCACAACAAACAGCCCAGGATTGCGTCCAATATGCGTCTACATCTATACGCACACATCTGTACATATACGTACATACCGACATACAGACATACGCACGCATGTGCATTATGGGTGTGGACAAACATGCACGTGCATACTTGTATGTAAATGTGCATATACACATCCACACGTGTGTATATATATATATACATATATATATAGAGATAGATGTACATCATGTGTACACGCAAACGTTAGTATGCTACGTACACGTGTACCTATATATATATATATATGTATACAAATATATATATATACACATACCGTACAGGCCGCACGCACACAATGTTGAGCATGCCCGCCGTTTTAGTGTTACGACTAAACGATCCAGCGGCAAGTCCCGCCACCGTGCCAGCCCAATATGTTGGGCGGCGACTGGTCGATGAGGCACAGGAGGCCGTCACGTGTGACGCCTCGTGTCTCCAGGCTTGGGAGAGCCGTGATGAGGATGATGATTACGGGAATGATGGGATTGATGATGATTGATGGTGACGATGGCGATGATGGTGGTGTGGATGATGATGGTGATGATGACGTTGATGATGATTACGATGAGATTGACGATGATATATGGCCGATGGTGATGGTGATACCCATGCTGCTGATGATTATGAGGATGGTGGTGGCGATGATGTCGTCGATGATATTCTATTGTAAAAGAGGAGGATGACGGTGATGTTGATGTTGATGTTCATCTTACTGGTGCTGTTGATGATGTTGCAGGTGATGATAATGGCGATGATGATGACGATGTTGAGGATGTTGATAGTGATGATGGTGATGGTGATGGTGATGGTGATGTTGATGGTGGTTGTGCTGTTGATGATGATGATGATGGTAATGCTGATGATGATGATGATGCTGATGATGGTGGTGGTGGTAATGCTGCTGATGATGATGCTGATTATGATGATGGTGATGATGATGATGATGATGATGATGATGATGATGATACTGATGATACTGATGATACTGATGATACTGATGATACTGATGATACTGATGATACTGATGATGATGAAACTCGTTCCAGCCGTCTTGGGTCTGCCATGGCCTCCTGTAGGACAGACAGTCTTGGGGGTCCCTTGGGGCCCTCTTGAGCCGTCTTGGGGCCCTCTTCCTCTGGCATGGGGTTCTCGTGGGCCGTCTTGGGGCCTTCTTGGCCGTATGGTGGTGCCTGGGGGCCGTCTTCGCGCCGTCTTGGGCCGTCCGTCAAAGGGCTTTCTAATATTGGGTCCCACGGCAGGCCTTCTTGGGCCGTCTTGAGGCCGTCTTGAATGTTTCTTGGGCCATCGTGGACTCCTCGTTTACCGTCTTGAGCTTACGGCAGTCCGAAAAGGCGAGAATGCTAAATTTACGCAAACAGTAAAGGGAAATCAATTGAGTGGGCTTCTTCGGACCCTGACGGTGGTTGTGCTTACATTGCTCAATCGGACGGTTTCGTGCTCATCTTACCGATTCAGCCGTTTTCGTGTTCAAATTGTTCATTCGGGCGGTTTCGTGAAACTGTGATTTCGGCCGTCGTTGTGCTCAACGTGTTCACGCCAGCTGTTTCTTGCACACATTGCTACGTATGCCGTCGCCGCGCTCAAATGCTCATTCACGCGTTTTTGTTGTCAAAATGCGGGTTAGGCCGTCTTCGTGCGAAATTTGCTCAACCAGGCGGTTGCGTATTAAATTCCTGACGCTTCGCGAATCCCCCACCAGCTATCTTGCGCTGTGCCCCCAGCCTCGGTCATACCGCCCTCTGGACTTCTCCTTGCGGGCCGCAAAACAAAAAGAATCCCCACCAGCCCAGGTCACAGTTTTGGCAAGTACAGACTTGAGCGGCGGTTAGCTGCGACCCTGGAGGACCAACACCCACCATTCCCGTAGAGGTATCATTTTCCGCGGGGACAGACCAACATCCAGCACAGCCTGAGGTCCACGTAGGACCCCACCCTCCCTCGGCCTTTACAACCTTAAGACCCACCCACCATTTCGTTGTTTTGAGCGGCGGTTAGCTGCGACCCCGGAGGAACCAATAGAATCACCTTTTACCCTGTCCCACGGGTTCGGGGCCAGGCCGAGGGGAGGGGCGGCGTTCCCCCCGCCTCTCCCCTCTGGGGCCAGGCGGGTGTCCCCCGCCCTTGGCCCCGGGGCCCGCCAGACGTACTGTCAGACGTCGGTGTCGTTGCCCCCCCCTCCCAGGGCCGCCCGTGT